TTATAAGTCTTTTGTTTAAGTCATTATTTTATCCCTTCAGACTACGACTAAAACATGTTTGATTCTAATAAAACTTTACTCTGGACATAGACCAATTTTCAGATTCTTTAGAATAAACAGAAATCTATCTTCAACTAAGAGTTTTGTAAAAATATCAGCCCACTGATGGTCTGTACCTATAAATTTTAAAGATAGGATCCCTTTCTGAACACAATCTCTAATAAAATGATGTTTGATTTCTATGTGTTTAGCCCTAGAGTGTAGGATAGGGTTTTTACTCAAGCAAATATCGGCAGTATTATCATAGAAGATAGGAATTTTACTCTCATATATATGGTAATCTTCTAGATGATTCTTCATCCATATCAACTGAGTACTGCACAGTGTTAATGATATGTACTTTGCTTCTGTTGTTGAAAGAGAAATTATTGATTTCCTCTTGCTTGACCATGAGATCAGATTCTTGCCCAGAAACTGACAGTTTCCAAAAGTACTTTTCCTCTCTAGTTGATCTCCAGCGTAGTTTGCATCATAGAAACCAGAAAGAGAATACTATGATGTTTTCTCATACATCAATCCAAGGTTAATGGTTCCTTTTATATACATCATAATCCTCTTAACAACAATTAAATGAGATTCCCTAGGATCAGATTGGAATCTAGCACAAAGATGGACACAAAATAAAATATCAGGTATAGATGCAGTCAGATACATAAGAGAACTTATCATACCACAATAGAGCTTCTTACATACCTTTCCACTTACCTCTTATTTTCACATAATACATGTTGGATGCATTGGAGTATTTGCTACAGTGCAGTCTATCATGTTGAATTTATTTAGAAGTTCTCTGGTGTACTTACTTTGATGAATGTAAGTAGCCTCTCATTTTTTATCAATCTGGATTCGCAAAAAGAACTTTAATTCCCCTATCATGCTCATTTCAAATTCAGTCTGCATTAACTTAGAGAATTCCTTGTAGAGGAAAGGATTAGCATAAACAAAAATAATATCATTAACATAAATTTGAACAATTGGAATATCATTTTTTAATGTTTTACAGAAGAGTGTAATGTCAACTTTTCCTCTGGTAAACTTATTTTCTAAAAGAAAATTGCTCAATCTGTCATACCAAGCTCTGGGAGCTTGTTTCAATCCATAAAGAGATTTCTTTAGTTTAAAAACATAGTCTGATTTCTCATAGTTTTCAAATCCAGGAGGCTATTTGACACACACTTTTTCTGAAATATAACCATTCAGAAATGCACTCTTAACATTCATCTGATAAAGGATTATGTTATGATTTACAGAAAAAGAAACTAACAACTGAATAGCTCCTAACATGGGGACCAATGTAAAGGATTCTATATAATCTATTCCTTCTTGTTGACTATAACCTTGTGCAACCAGTCGTTCTTTATTTCTGACAACTTCACATTTCTCATTGAGCTTGTTTATAAACACCCATCTGGTTCCAATGACGTGGGCACCTTTAGGTTTCTGAACAAGATCACATGCATCATTCTTTTAGAATTGGTTCAGTTCTTCTTCCATATCCAAAATCCAATCCTTATCTAAAAGGGGTTCCTCAATAAATATAGGTTTTTTTAAAGAAACTAAACCTAGAAGCACTTCATCAGAAGGTTTGAGAGTCGATCTTGTTCTGACTAGAGCATATTTACTTCCAAGAATGAGATCTTCAGGATAAGAGGATGTGATTTTGTTCTAAGTTGTTTGAGGTTGATTAGAAGGACTATCAACAACATTAGAAGAAGGGGCTTATGATTCTTTATCTTCTTGAGTCTTCTCCTTTGGTTTAGTGAACATTAAAGTCATATTTGCAAGCTTTTCACACAACTTTGACTTTTCATAGTCAAGCTTATCATCTAATCTGACATGGATTGATTTCTCCACAATTTGTGATTCAATGTTATACATTCTGAATCCTTTAGAGCATTTAAAGTATCCTAATAGAAGACACTTTTGTGCCTTGGAATCAAACTTACCTAGATTTTCTTTATTGTTTAACATATAACAAGTACATCCAAATGGATGGAAATAGGAAATGTTGGGATTTCTATTCTTTCACAATTCATAAGGAGTCTTACTCAAAATAGGTCTGATGGAGATTCTATTTTGAATATAACACGTTGTATTTACTACTTCTGCCCAACAGTGCTTAGCCAACTGAGTTTCTTGGATCATGGTGTGAGCCATTTCTTATAGTGGTCTATTTTCCCTTTCTACAACCCCATTTTGTTGTGGAGTTCTAAGACAAGAAAAATCATGTACTATGCCATTTGAATCAAAAAGTTATTCAAAATATTTATTTTCAAATTCTACACCATGATTACTTTGAAGTCTGACTATTTTGTAATCTTTTTCATTTTGTACTTGGGAACAGAAGGAAGCGGATACAAAATATGACTCATCCTTGTGTTTCAATAATTTTACCCATGTCCATCTGCTATAATCATCAACGATGACAAGTTCATATTTCTTACCATTGGCAGAAGCAGTTTTCACTGGTCTAAATAAGTCAATGTGAAGAAGTTTTAATGGCCTAGAAGTAGAAACAATGTTTTTAGCTTTGAAAGAGGTTTTTGAAAATTTGCCTTTCTAACAAGCTTTACAAAGGGCATCTGAAGTATACTTCATATTGGGAAAGCCTCGGACTAATCCAAGTTTATTTAGTTGAGAAATATTTCTCAAGCTAACATGACCCAAACATCTATGCCAGACCCATTGCTCTTCTTGAACAGTCATGAGACATTTTACATTTTGATTTTTCAAACCTGATAATCTTATTTTGTAAATATTGTTCTTCCTTTTTCCATTAAATAGATCTGAGTCATCCTTCTGACTAACAGCTTTATAGGATGTTTGATTGAAAATGACGTTATAACCATTGTCACTAAATTGACTGATTGGCAATAAGTTATGCATCAGACTCTCGACTAAAAGAAAATTGTGAATAGAAGGGAATTTACCATTACCAATCGTTCCAGGGTCGATGATCTTTCCCTTCTGATTTCTTTGAACCCAACAACGCCTCCAGACTTGAGTTAAAAGTCTTGGAACATATGCCTTTTGCCCGTCATATGTCTCTATCTACTCTCCAGGTACCATGATTGGTGTTTCAGTGGTGTAATCAAGGAAATCTGTAATGTAGATTATTTGATCCTTAGGTACCCACTTTCTGGGTCCTCTCTTGTTAGAAGTTCTAGAGGTTCTGACACCTTTGGACTTTTGTGCAAAAGGATAATCATGTGAAATTTGTGCATGATACTTTGGTTTAGAAATTTCCTTCCATGTATGTGTTTATGCTACAGTAGTATCAAAACCTTCTTGTACTGGACATTTCAAATTTGTGCCAGCAGGCACGAAATGTTCAGAGAGATATTTTGGTTTGACATTAAAAGTCTCATCAATTTTCTTTGATGGTCCTAAATATCCCAAGCCTTTGCTTCCATTTCTACTAACACAATAGATCATTGAAGCCATTTTGCTTCTATCTATGCTTTTAGCAAGGAAGTGTTAAAAGGCTCTATCATATCTAATTACTTCGTCAATAACAGATGTGTTAGAAATAAATCACATAAAAATAAATCTAAATCACACTTTTCTAAAAGATAGAAATAAATCACATTGCACATATCCTAAAATCACTTTCATATTAGCTCTAACATTGGCCTTCTTACAAGGTCTAGATGTTTCACACATGTTGGAACATCATGTCCCACATGTGTGCTTTCTTCAATAAAATATCTTGTACACTTTATATTGTCTTGAAAAATGCAACCAATCACATAGAACAATAATAACCGTATACAAGCATATTCTAATCATCTCCATCATTGATTTCGGGAAACCCATAGCTTTGAGCACCCCATCAAGAAAATACCATTCAATTATATCGTACACCTTCGACATATCCAACTTTAGGGTCATCATTCCATTCTTACATGTTTTCTTCTCTTTCATCCCGTGGAAACATTCCATGGCAATCAGAGCATTATTTGTTATCAACCTTCCTTTTGCAAATGCACTTTGATCTTCTTTAATAACATCAGGCATAAGGCCTTTATATCTCTTGGCTATAGTTTTTTTCACCAATTTTAGGACCATATTACATAGGCTGATTGGCCTGAAGTAATTAGGTGTGCTTGAATTCTTACACTTAGGAATTAGAACAATCTTGTTGAGGGCAACAGGGCCTTGATTGTTATTTAACACCCCCAGTACTAAGTTCATCATCCTGGTCCCCATAATTTTTCATAATTTTTGAAAAAACAAAGTTTGAAGGCCATCTGGTCCCGATGCCTTTAAGTGGTGCATTAGATTCAGAACATGTTTGACCTCCTCTTAGGAATACATGGATTCACACCATAGTTGTTTCCCCATTCTTATATTCCCTTGAACTACTTGGTAGAAAACATCAATAATCGCAGGAGAAAACAAAAGCATATCATAGAAGTATTTTACCAGAATTCTCTCACAGTGGTCCTCGCCTTTCCACAAAACCCCTCTATCATCTTTTAATTTTGCTATATAGTTTGTTCTCCTTTGTTTCTCTTCTTTGCCATGGAAAAACTTGGTGTTACGGTCCCCTCACTAAGCGAAAGGGATCTACTCCTCTGTGTCCATATCATTTCTTCTTCCCTAAAAAGATTGTTTCTTTGTTGCTTTAGGGCCTTGTTAGTTTTTATTTCCTGTGCCTCCTCTGTCCGTCGACTATCATCCTTCAAGAGATCCTCTAATCATTTAAGTTCTTTCCTAACAGCTCTAGGCCGTAATTATATGAAGGAATCCTCAATGACTTGAATCATGAAAAGTTTATTGACTATGTGGTTAGTATCATACAACCTCATCTTCTTCATAAGCTCTTCACATATATTTCCTTAGTCTAAACCTCTTAAAATGTAAATAGTTGGACCTTATTCTTTTAATTGCACACCAGAGGATCCACTAGGTTAATACAAATGACAATATGATCAAACCTAAACTGAGGGAGGTGGAGAGCTTTGGTAGAGGAAAATTTGTAGCAAACTCTGAGGTTTCCAATCCCCTATTGAGACGACATTTAATATTCTCCAAGTCTTCTCCGCCATTTGTCCAAGTGAACCTATAGACTCTAAACCCCGAGTCATGAATTCCACAATTTCTCACTGTTTGTCTACTCTAGCTCAGCTGACTAATTGACCTGCTAGTGCCACCTTTTTTGTTCGCATCAGCTAGAACATCATTAAAATCTCCAAAACAAATCCATTGGTTCCCTACTTCTCTAAACAATTTGATTCACCAATTCACAAGTTTTCCTCTTATTATGCTCTTCAGGGAAGCCATAATTCCTATGAAGAACCATTGGATATACACTTCATCATCCATCACCGAACCCTCTATATGGTTAAGAGAATAGGAAATAATATTGACCTTTAAATTATAACTTCGTAGTAGTGCAACTCCTGCTACCCTGTATTTCCCACTCCCTCTACACTTCATCACTTGGCAAAACGCGAAACCACATTTTGAACGAGCATATTGCATCTCAAATTCTTTTAGTCTAGTATCCATTAGGATGACCATAAAGGGATTTTCCAATATAATGAACCTCTGCAAGGCTCAAATTGTACGGGGATTCCCTAAACCCCTATAGTTCCAGCTTATGATTTTCATTATTGAACACGGTGTTAGTTCTTCATCACCACCTCTGGTCTTGTCTTGCTAACATCCTCTTCCATCCCCGCACGATTCCTATTGTTCTTTCCATTTCCAATGTCCTACAAGGAGCCATCAATTATCACCACATCAATTAGTTGTCTCTTTCTTCCAGCATCCAACATCTTCTTTATTTGATCTTGTTTCGACTTTGTTCAGTTCTTTTTTCTACTCTAGGTATTCCTTTTGGTGCCTCCTCCATCAATCTGTGTTGTCCCTTTTGTTTGAAAATATGTTATTGCCATCGCCGTAAGAGACTTTTCCACTATTTCCACTTCCATATTCTCCACCACCTGAATTTCCTCAGAAGCCTTCACCCTTAGAATAAGTTTGTTACTAGTATTTCTTCCTTTCTTAATTTGGACCTCCTTTGTTTTCTCCTTCCTACTTTGTTCGAATCTGATTTGGCTTAAGGATATATTGAACATGATTTTGCTATAATTACTTGAAATTGAATCCTTCCTCCTTGGTTCCTTAAACACATTTGGAAGGGGTGAAGCCCTAAACAATAACCCATAAGACATGTCATGTTCATCGAGATCTTCATATCCCTCGTTGCTTAGATTATCAATTGCCTCACAATCTTTTAGTTGATGCCCCAATCTTCCACAATCAAAATTGATGATGGCAAGTCGCTCATACTTAAAATAGGGCCTATGGATTTTCTCCAGGAATCTCACCATTGTTCCTCTTTTCAGAGGTTGTTTTAGGTCCATTTTGACTTTGATCCTCAAAAAGCACCCATTATTATTCGCATCCCTCCATTTCTTCAAAAGACCGTCGACATCTCTTCAATCTTATTTTCCATTGTATCAGACCTCGACATTAGCGGATGATCATAAACCCTAATGCAAAAGGCGCCAAAGTGCATGTCCAACCCCAATCTAAAACCAGAAGGTTGCGATAGAAACTCCATGGCCCATTTTGAATCACGGATTCCAGATTTCTCTTTGTTGTAAACTTGAATAAGAACATATTCTTGTTGAGCTCTTATGTCTCAACATGGTTTTTGAGTCTCTAAACACCCACTGAAATGTTGATGAAGGCTCTTACGTTGAAGTTTTTATCCGTCCATAGTTTCCTTACAAGAGTCTGTTGAAATACTTCATCCCTCGATACTTCATCACCTTCATTTATAACTCCTTCCACCTCCTCTTTAAAGAGAGCGATGTTTTTCCACTTTCTCCATAATCCATCATGATAAAAGAGATCCTCCCGATAAAAGAAAAAAAGGTAACCAGAAATATATCCCCTTATTAAAACACCTGATAATGATCTCCGACAGCGACAATAGAAGAAAAAAAACTAAAAAGAAATCTGAGATTTACTCCATCACAAACCATACTGTTGGTTGGTGGGCAAGCTAACCAAGGATTTTAAATAAGAAAAATATTAAGAAATATTTGTTTGGTAGGAAGCATGTAGACATTCGCAATAACAAAATGCCAATAATAACTTATGCTTCTGACAATTTACTTAAGTGCAATATATAAACTCTAGTTACCTATTTTCTTATTTAAAGGGATACACCTGGTGATTTCAATACACTTTTCAATTTTAAACTTTTCATATCTGATTGATAATAGCTTTGTAAATTTGGCCATTCATATTTAACGAATATGATTGATTAAAAATATAATGTGTTTTTTTCTAATTATTTTTTATAAACTAAATATTTTTATTGAGCCTTTAGTTTTAATTTTTTCAAAGGTATAACTATATGTTGAATTCAAAAATAATTTTATTTTTTTAGTTTGTATTATCTTTTTAAATATATTTAAAAGACATTTTTAACTAAAAAAATTGTATAATTTAATAAATGAAACTATATATTAAATATTAAAAGGGTCATGCTAACAAGTGGTCTAAGAGCACGGTTTAAAGATTTCATATATATAAAAAAAATCTTTAAATAAATCATTTATTTTAATTTGCAATGTATTGAATACAAGTATTTTTAAGAAAACATATATTTTATTTCTTAGAAAAATCAATCATTTTAATTTTCAATATATTGAATACAAATATTTAATCAACAAAATCTATCATTTTAAACTCTTAACAAGTCTCCGAATGCACTCATTAACATTTCTCATATTAAAAAAATGAAAATAAAAGAGAGCAAGAAAATGAATTTATTCTCAATTAATAAGATACTCAAATCTTATCCAATCTTACAGAATTTGTTACAAATTTTTATTTATCTTATTGTTACACATATAGTTGTTATCGCAATTATTCTTCAAATTTTCTTCATGCTGTCCATGTCTCATATTGTAGTATCATGGAACCCTGTACAAAAAAAAAATATTGTAACGAAATATCAATGCGTCCTGTAGGTTAGTAGGAATATATGAAGACAAACTTACGTGTTGCAATCGATGCTAGGATCAAATGAAACCGATAGATTAATTTTACAGAGGCTTGGCAATTGTTTTGATTTGTCGGGATTAACTCCAAATCTTGCTGCAGCAGGTTTGAGACAATTGCATACATCTCTTCGACTTTGAGTGGTGTCTGCCTTTTGATTTAAATTATTTGCACCTGCACAACAAGCACTAGTTGGTGTAACAGGGCCGGTTCCTTGCAAATAAGGAAGACATGGAAGCAAAGATAAAAGAGCATCAGGACATGTAATATCATCAACAACATTTAAAAGAGAAATAGATCTCTTCTCCATCTTTCTTAGTTTGAGAATGTGTATAAGTATGGTTATTCTAGAATTTTGGAATGTCTAACCTGTATGAATATAGCTTAATTTATAAACAAGATATGATATCATTTTATGGTAATTCATTAGTGTCTCTGTTCATTTTTAATATTTTTTTAAAAGACTTGGTGGTGATTTATGATTTCTATTAATATTAGTTATTATAAAAGATTTATTATTTCTATTAATATTATTTATTATAAAATGGATAATTATAAGTAACATTTAATATGTTTGATCAAAGTTAATTATTGAGAAAACAAATCTTAATTATTAAATATTTTTTAGAATATATTATATTTAAAATTCTTCTAAATTATTTTGTCCTTTTTACGCCCTCAAATATTAGTTTTTGAATCATTAACATTTTTCTAAGGATACAAATAATTAAAATAAAATATAATATAATTAATTTGAAAATTCAATTGATATTCATTATATTTTCTTAGGATCTGTTCGAAAGTTTAAATGTCAATTAAAGATAGGATTTTGAAAAAAGAGAAGGATTGAGGGACGAAAATTGTAGAATTTAAGTTTGTATGATTTTGAAGAGATAATTTATTTTCGTAACACCTAAAATTTTTAATTTGGAAGAATTTAAAATTTATATTAAAAGAGGGTTTTAGAGAGTTTTAGAAGGTTTACCTGAATTTTTTAAATATCTTTTATATTGTTAGAATATTCTGAAAATTAAAAATATAGCGATGAAAAACATTCTTTTATCATTTTATATAAAATTATTTTTTAAAAAAAATATCAAATATTTTTTAAAATTTATTTAAAAATTTGTGTTCGAAAATCTCTCCTTCTCCTCTTCTCCAAACTCCAAAACAAAGCTTAAAGATTATATCAATTATTTTATTTATATTTTCAAAATTAAAGAAGAGAAATGGTATAGTAATATTTATGACACTAAGGATTATGTTATAATTAAATTATATGTGATTTGAACTCGTTTTTTGAGGTTACAAAATCAGCCTTTAATAATGGATCAACATCTTATAAACTATTTATTCGAAATTAAATACTCATAAATGTTTTATTAAGAATAAAATAACAAATGGTTATGGTCCACTATAAATTTAAATTTTAATTGAGAATCATTTATGAGTATAACTTTATAATATTATTTTCTAACATATTTCAATAGGAAATGCGTAACTCTTTTGATAAAAATTGACATGAAACTTATTATTTTGTGTATTAAATTAAAATAATTATTAATTAAAATAAAATATGTATTTTTTTGATAATGACATGTAAGAAAAAAAATTTATATTTGAAAATAAAAATTTTGTATTTCAAATAATAAAAATATTAATTAAAATAAAATATATATTTTTCTGAGAATGATTGATAAGTTGAAATATTAGTTGTATATATGACTATTTACTAAATATTAGCATCGTATATATTTATACACCAATAAATAATTAATATGATAATCATATACTATAATTATATATTTTAATATATTAAAAATAATTATAAAAAAATGAAAAAATTAGATAAAAAAGATAAAATGATGAAATGAAAAGAGAAAAAAATATAAAAGAAAAATTAATTTAATTTGAAAAAAGAGTGAAATGGTAAGCGGATATAATTAAGAAATTGTGAAGTGTGTGTGGTGTTTAATACAGAGAGTAAATGATAGAAATAATTTAATTTGTAATACAAAAGAAGAGTGAGAGAAGAAGAGGACACGTGACACATGTTAATTTATTTAGAAGTTGTAAAAATATTTTGATTATGAAATGACAAATAAATCCTTTTGACTTTGTAATTTAAAAACACAAAAAGGTTATTATGAAAAGGATGATGGCATTGTATTTTAATGGTTTGATAGTTAATTTAATTTATTATCATGTGGAGAGTGAGGGGTTTGAAAACCTATGATATAATAGAAAATGTTATTTCTGTATATGGAACTCAGTAAATACTTTTGAAGAAATTTAATAATTTTTTTAAAAGTAATTAAATATTTTAATTATTTCAATTATATAAAATATTCAATAATTTTCAAAATAAGCATGTCATTTTTAATAATGAGCATTTCATTGTTTTCTTTAATTGAATAACCTAAAAGCTTAACAAATACATTTTAAATAAGAAAATAGACATAATTATAAATAAATATTGAATTTGTATTTATAATACTAAAATTTATTTAAAATTTTAAGTTTAAATAGAAATTTTTATTTTGAATTAATTAATTAATTTAAATGTCAATCTTGCTCATTTAAAGTTATTGTGGCATTTTTGGAAGTGGGGTGTAATCGGGCTTGGATAGGTTTTGATAAAAAAAATATTCAAATTAATATTTTTTCGATTATATTTGATTCAGTTTTTAGTATTTTTCAAAAATAGAACCGAACCAAAGTAACATATTTAGTTCACTTCGATTTGGTTTGGTTGATCGTTTTACAATGTTATTATTCTCAATTATATTCATTAGTGTATTTTGCACTACATATTTTTTTGTTTATTTTATGCTATTATTTTTTAAAGTAATAAATTTCATGTAATTTATTTCATACTCTATTGTTTCAAACAAATAACAAGTTGTTCTAAATCTATACTCCATTGCATCATGAAATAAATTTATTATCAAATAAAAAATTTTGGCACTTGGCATTAGAATATTGGGAATAAATTTGAAAGCTTAACAAATAAAATACAACAACACAAATTTTTAATACTCATAAATTAACATGTTTTATACCTCAAACGCGTATCTCGAGTTTACTTAGAATCGAGACGTAGATGAAGTTTTTATTGTCAAAGCTTGTTATGACATTTTTGTTAATAGGGAAGCTATTGAGTGGGTTTAAACAAATATGATGGAGGTGTTCTTTCAGTTGTGGAGAGTTAAAGTCTCATCGAATATCCTTATGTTCGAAAAGAGGTTGGTGTTAAATAGACTCCCAACGAGAGAAAATCTGTTTATAAGAGGTGTTGTCCGTGCTGGTAACGATCAGCTCTGTGTTCTCTTCGCAGAAAGTTTGGAATTGAGAGAACATCTTTTTAGAAATTGTCACTTTAGTAGGAAAATTTGATTGGCGGTTCGAAATTGGATGGGGAGTAAATTGTTATTGTCAGAACAGGATTTGGCGGACTTTTCGAATTGTTTTCATCAGGTCAAGAACAAGGGTGATATAGGAGTAATGTTTATTTTTTGGCTGGCAGCGTCTTGGTCCATTTGGTTGTTAAGAAATATTGTGATTTTCAATGGAAAGCCTATGAATTTTGACGAGTGTATCTCGATCATAAAATTCACCTCGTGGAAATAGATCAATGTAGGTAGAACTCCCTCTTTTGTTGTAGTTATTATGACTGACACACAGTGCCTTTATATTCCCTAGATTAAGGTGCCTTCTTGTAAGATGTTTTTTTAGTTGAGTACCCCTTGTGCTCTTATTAAATGAAATCATTTGCCTATTAAAAAAAACCTATTTTGTAACAAGACTAGAAGAAATTTTATTGAAGAAGAACAAACAAAAAAAGGTCAAAAAAATATGAAAAATAACGAAGTGAAATTGAACATTAAGAAGAAGGCTACCATAATATATCAAAACGTCAGTGGAGAGAGCAACAATGGTGGTGGACGGCGAGAGAAGCATTTCCGTGAAAACAAATTTTGTGACTTATGATTTCTACTTTCTATGTTTGAGAGTTTGGTTCTAGATATCTGTTTTGGTGAAAGGAAAGAAATGTAAACAAAGATGGACAATTGTTGTACTGATACAAAATTTAAGCTTAATAATAGGTAAAAAAATATTTAGAGCGTAATTATAGTCATTGGTTCAGTTCACCGGTTTGACGATTTCATAAAACTTAAACCAAGAACCAAAACAAATCACATTGATTTTTATTGATTAAGTTTATTTTGGTCTTGAAATCGAACCAAAAACAATATTTTTTAGGCTTGGTTTACACTATCAATTTAATTACTTTTATTAGATCCGCTTATACCCTATTTGAAAGGATAAAAATATTGTAAAATTAAAACTCGTAAGATATATACAAGAGAAGAAAATAATGCAACATCCATTAAGTGTTCAGATTATTTAACAATACTTTAAATTGAATAATTACATATGTATAAATAAGGAAATGGAAGTATTGATTCTAATATTTTTAAACTTTAAAGAGACTCATTCCAATATTTCCAACTTGTTCACTGATTTCACTAGGTACTCTCAAGCTTCAGCTCAAATATTTAGTACCTCAAAATCTTGCATATATTATTGTTCAATTCTTTTTTTTGAAAACTACAGGGTTTAAGATTGCCTCATTTCCTTTAAATTACCTATGTATTGCTATTTTCAAAAGCAAACCAAAAACTTGCCACCTCAAGCCTATTGCTAATAGGGTTCCTGCAAAACTTTCAATATGAGAAGTATTTTTGCTCATTATGGTAAGTAGAACAATGTTGGTTAATTTTGTAATTCTCATCATTCTTATTTTTTTTTATTTCAGTCATTCTTAGCCTTTTTTGTTGTTAAAGTCTATTGAGCATTCTTCTAGGAATTTCATTTGGAGTGGTGAGATCTCTAAAACAAAATTAATAATTGTCTCTTTAAAAAAGGTTTGTAATACTTTTGCATTTAGTGGTTTAGTTCTTAGGTGTTTGAGAAGTTTTAATGAAGCCTCTAATTTGAAGCTCGGTTGGGATATAGTCAAAACATAAGAATCTTGGGCTACTTTTTTAAGATACAGAGTTTGCATAGATGATTCTACCATCAATTATCATATTCTTCCTCAATTTTGTCAGGTATTAAGCTCAAATTTTACACTCTTAGAGGTCATTTTGCATAGGCAATTGGTAATGATAATTCTATTAAATTTTTTCATGATTCTTGGTCTTGGGATCCTCTTATTTTTTCTATCGATCCAACTGATTTGAACAAAATAGACTTTTATAAAATTGGAATCTTCCAGATTCATGGAGTTTGGAATTTCTATTTATT